AACATTAAAGCATGGAACATGTCACACGATGGCACCAAAACAAACCTGGAAATTAACTTCCAGATGATTGCATTATTCCCAACCATTTCATTTGAACTTAGGAAACTTACAGTAGTGCAGGACAAAACAGATGGTTTTCAGGTCTGTGACGAAAGATTTGTAGACTTTTCGTGCTGTCCTAATATCAAATGGGAAGCTCTTTCCACCATCAATTTGTAATGGCATAATCTTTTGTTTGCACAAAAATGAGACAACCAGATAATACCGTACAGATTGGACAAATCCTGTCCTGTGTTGCACTCAGTCCTCTGGGCACGAACACTAATGCGCACACCAACAAGTCCTCTATGTTGGTGTGTTCTTTAAATGAAATAACAAAATGTAATTGTTTTGTACATGTTCCCCCAGGTGACCCATATACTATAGTGATCTGTTTTTAAGAATTGTTAACAGAAATGGTCCTTCTTTTTTCAGCAAACGATGGGCAGTTCACTGTGATCCCAGCTCGTTGGTATGCTGGCGTGGCATCGCCCAGCATGAAGTCCTGGCCGACATGAACTAGCTACACCGGCGACCTCGCCTGCCCCGGAACATCCTGGTCAACCAGCCAACCTGGTGTGGCAAGGTGTCGGACTCGGTCTCGCTCACGGCTTTCACTTGCGCGCAGGCACGAGATAATTCCGACCCAGACTACACTAGTGCTCTTGTAAGAAGTGAGGGGATCACAGTTCAACACCCACTGCAGTCAGCATGTCGTTGTGTCCTGGGCCAAGACACTTCACCCCCAAAACTTGCTCTGCACCCCAAATTGCTCCTGTGGGGATTGCCTACAGTATTGAGTATGTAAGTTGCTTTGGATAAAAGCGTCTAACGAGTAACATGTAATGTAAAGTGAAGTAATGTGAACATTCCTAATGAGAATATCATTCATCAGGTACACGATAGTGCCATTCCTAACAACATGCCCTCACCTGTTCTTCCAGTATTTTATGTACCATGCTTTACTCCCAGGGGTTTTGTTATACCAACCTCCCAGTTAGGTTACAGTCAGCATTGTTCAAGTGAACCGGTGTCTCTCTCCGGAGTCAGGACACTGTGACGGTCGGGTTTTGGTCTCGCTTTTCTCTCTCGCTTCCCCTCGCTGAGGTTGTGCTCTTTGTGTTCGCAGGGAGGGAAGATTCCTATCCGATGGACGGCACCCGAAGCTATCCAGTACAGGAAGTTCACCAACGCTAGTGATGTGTGGAGCTACGGGATCGTCATGTGGGAAGTCATGTCCTACGGGGAGAGGCCTTACTGGGACATGACCAATCAAGATGTATGTATTTTACTTATATTGCTGTTGATTCTTGAGTCAAATCCCCCCCTTAATTTTTTTTAAAACAAAGCCTCACTAGTCACTACACACATATATCATCTTCTTCCTGACTTTCATGACAGCCCCAGATTCCTCAGGGATACATTTTGTCATTGTATCGTCTTTCCCACAGCTTAAACAGCAGCTTTCACTCATGGGTTTTATATGAAAATCCCCCCACACTCACCACAGAGACATAATCAGATCATTTGAAATGCAAGGCAGCGCTCAATGGACAATTTCTGCTCTTGACTGGAGCCTCCATTTTCCTATCTCCCTCTGGGTAGTGGAGGGGTGAAGCAAATTATGGCGCGAGAGATAATGAAAATAGTTTCAAATTGAAAGTGAGAACACAAATGTGCTAAGAGGGACAGAGGACCTCGACGGTTATCTTATTAGCAGCTCCAGACAGTGTTTCTGCTCCATCGGGGTCCCCGTTTGGAGGTCTCATGAATGAGATTAATCTGAGGCTGAATGGAGCTCCTTTAATGGATCTGGTAATGAGCAGGGGATCGTGCGTCCTCGGCGCAAGTGTCCTCCGGGTTATTTCACTCTGTTAACAGAGCAGCACCTCTGCACGCCCCTGGACCGCCAACATCACCGGCCCCCGCCAGACAAGTCCTTAGTGTAGGCTTTGCAGAGAGAGTGAGCACTAAATACTTTGTAAAGGCCACAGATGAGGTCACAGCTGGCAGAAATGTGTAGTAGTTGGAATAAGGTTTATGTTCCTAATGACCCGACTGGTGTTTAACAAGTCTTCACATTGAGAACTAATGCAGTGATTTGTGCACAAATATATATCTTTATATGTGTTAAAGTAATAGCTAACAGTGTGGACTGTTAGGCAGTGAGACAAAGTAATGACTACAGCAGTTGTTTTCACCACATGGTGAAAGGCACAGATTACATTATTATATGTTCACTGAAGAAAGGGTCATCAGTGCATGTATTTACTCCTGATTAGCCTGTTGTTATCTTTACATAAAGAGGCCCTATTATGCTTTTTGGAGTTGTCCCTTTCCTGTAGTGTAGTGTGTTATATAGGTTTTTGTGCATTTAAATGGTCTGCAAAGGGTTTCCTCCAGAGGGAGTTTCATCTTTAAATTCGGGGTAGCCTACTGTAAACACATATGTAGTTTGAGGAACTTATTTACTGTACTTTTGTATTGTATGCTACTTAATAGCTTACTATGCTCAGGGGTGCACATAACTGGTACGCAGGTACGCATGCGCGGCAACAATCTGAGATGCGTACCGTCACTTGTGTCACAAAGCGCATTTGCGTACCGACGTACTTGTGAAGCTTTTCCAGAAGGCGGTTAGATCACCGGACGACAGAGTCGGTCTCCGTGTGCACAGACAGGGCTGCTGTTAACGTCGGTCTGTACAACGGAATTGTGCCAAAACTACGCCAACCGGCTGCGGAGACTCCCCCCCCTTCACTGGAGAACTGTGCTAAAACAGCTGATCACAACGTTCACGCTCTGTGGTCATGAAGTACTCCACTAGTACCCCCCACGTTACGTTCGCGATACAGAGGGCTTCATCAAATAATTTGAGTGGAGCCAGAAGTTGGAGTACCAAACACTGACTCTTGGTACTCATCTGAGTACCTCACTGAGAAAGTTATGTGCACCCCTGACTATACTATACTTACCACAGATACTCTTTTTACTGCTTAAAAAGTATCAACTTAAGGCCCTATGTTAAGTACAGTTCTAATTTAATCAAATAGTAATATTTAATATTCCACAGGAAAAGTAAAGCTCAGAGAACTTTTTCTAAATACCACGACACCTAAAATTATCTTCTTACCATTTTGGAGCAAATAACAGTAACTGTTTGTAATGCAGTTAAAACTGGCTCCACGTTAACCAGCTACAACATCAACATTTTATTTACCCATTGATTCATACCTATCTAGTCCAGCCACAGCTGCTGCAGCTTTCATCAAGTAATTTCTTATTAATTACACATTCATTCAAAGGGCATTGTTTTCATCATTAAGTACTTTTGATACCATTATGAATGCAGGACATTTACTTGTAATGCAGAACTGTATTAGAACTCATACTGTAGAAAAGAACACAAGTACTTCTTTCACTACTGGACAGAAACAGTACAGTTTCCTCTCCATCGATCTCCTCTGTAGAGCCTGATAGCAACCCTTAGAGATCTCTGTCTCCCCCTGCAGGTCATCAACGCCATAGAGCAGGACTACCGGCTGCCCCCCCCCATGGACTGCCCCAGCGCGCTGCACCAGCTCATGTTGGACTGCTGGCAGAAGGACCGCAACAACCGGCCCAAGTTCAGTCAGATCGTCAACAACCTGGACAAGATGATCCGCAATCCCAACACGCTGAAGGCCATGACCCCGTTATCTTCAGGGTGAGAAGACCACATTTGTTTTACTCGTGTTTGCATTATCTCTCAGTATTACTCATAGTCAACACACATGGTGGGGATGAGTGCTAAACGTATGCTCTTCTCCTTTTCCCCGGCTCTGTCTTCACTCTCCGTGCAGGATCTGCATGTGTGTTTTATCTCGTCTCTGCGGGAATCCCACTAGACGGGGTCTCTGGTTTTAGCATTATTTCCCATTAATGTGGATAACATCTTGAGGAATATAATGCATCTGATCTTCTTTTAATGTAAAGGCTTTCCAAACAGGAAATTCATGCTCCTGCTGAAGTGCCATCCGTGGCACAGTTGACTTATTTTCCGAAACACAGTAGCTCTTGTTTCTCCTGGCGCCGAGCGGTTATGTAAATTAAAGCTTTCGGTTTGATAGATCAAATCCTCCCCACGAACGCTTCAGGCGAAACCTGAATTGAAGCAGTCGTGCAATTTTCAAAACAAAACATTTTGTATGGTTTCTGCTCTGGGTGTTAGTTTCCTTTGAGGGTTTTCTGATTTCCATTATCCCTGTCTGTACTTTCATTTGTGGTGGTGTGCAGCACCGAGGGCCAGATTTTTCCGCAGACACTAAGTGGATATATTGGCTCCTCGAAGCCTATCACTTCATTTGGAAAATAGGCTTTATGAGGAATCAGTTTGGAAAATATTGGTTCATGGATAAGGCCACTGGGAATTTCTTGAGTTCTGTCTAGTCTTTTGAACATCTAATCTAATAATTCACGTTTGAATCACAGGCAGGTGGTCTCGGGTGTCTATGACTTTGGACCTGCCATTTTGTATTACTATTAATCTTAACGGCTCCTGAATGTGTGTCCCCTCAGTGTTCATCTCCCCCTCTTGGACCGCAGCATTCCCGACTTCTCCAGCTTCAGCACCGTGGACGAGTGGCTGGATGCCATTAAGATGGGCCAGTACAAAGACAATTTCGCCGGCGCTGACTTTTCTACGTTTGATGTGGTGTCCCAGATGACCATGGAGTAAGTGCTGACAATTCCTGCAGTTCTGGGTCTGATAAGCAGAAGGAAAGAGGCCAGTTTACTGAATCTCGTATACCCTCAATAGTTTAATTACTACCAGACTCTTCCTCTGGCCCATTATAAAACACACTAGCTACTCTGTATGTAATTAGCAGATCTTAATTCTGCAGTTGCAAGGCTGAAAAGTGGGTACAATACCTTGAAGGCATAACAATGCTCTTTATTCTCTGCCATGTGTTTAGCAGGCCTCTCTTTGACCTTAGTTTCACAATCAAGAGGAACAATGATAATGTGGGGTTAGTTAGCGAAAAATATTTGGAATAAAACACACAAGCAGGGTTGGGAGGGTTGCTATAAAAATGTATTCCGTTACAATGACCAGTTACCTGTAAAAAATAAGCAATCAGTAACCTAATCTGACTATCAAAATGTAGAAGTAATGTAACCTGATTACTTTCTGTTACCTCAATATTAAATGCAATCCAAGATAAAAAAAAATATAATAAGATCCTTAAGTGTTTTATATAGGACAACAGAAGTCTGTCTAAAATCTGAGCAAACAGAAAATGCAAAATGTTTAATACATACAGGTAAGTTTACTCACTATTTGATGAACATACAGTATAGGTTCACTAACTGAATTTAAAATTAGAATATCCATAGAAAGTTAAAACATTAAAGCAAATTCAGGCAGTAAGTGTATGGATTCACACTTAAAGTATTACACCACAGAACAGTACATTCCTTTTTTACTAACATTATAATCCTGCGTGTAATCCCTAGTAAAGAAAAGTGTATGTAATTGTAAGGGAATACAGTTACCTTTTTATCGGTTTATTGATTACGTAATCCTGTTACATGTGTTTTGTACTCCCCAAGCCTGCAAACAAGACCTTATTATGTGAGAAGGCCACCTGCAGAGCCTGATACAAATAATTTCCTGTCTGTAATAACAGTATCACGAGGCAGAGATTAAACCACACACATGTTAAACTTCAACTCTTTGAACCACACAGATCGTAATGTCTAATCCAATTAATTTGATTTATGTGGATATTCAGAGTAAGAGGAATTTCATTGTTTAATGGATAAGAAACTATTGGCACATTATTTTGTCTCGAGCTTATGCCCTTTCCTTGATATAATGCAACATTTTCTTCTTACTTCGGTAGTTTTACAAGGGCCCTATTATGCTTTTGGGGGTTTTCCCTCCCCTGTAGTGTGTTATATAGGTTTGTGTGCATGTAAATGGTCTGCAAAGGCTAAAATCCCAAAGTTCCCTCCAGTGGGGGTTTCTCTCCCACACACTCCCCCCCCCCTGCTTGAAATGCTTCAATTGGACTTCTTTGTTAACTGCCATTAAATAAGGACATCACTATGTAACACTCACACTTTTATCAACTAGCGCTCAAACACATTTTACATGATTGGCTAAGGGGCGGGACATCTCTGAGCAGTTGACCAATCACAGCAGAACCGGCCAGCTAACCAATCAGAGCAGACTGGGCTCTAGTTTCAGACAGAGGGTGAAAAGAGGTGCTGCAGAACAGGCTGTATGAGGGAAAGAAAGACCTTTTTAAACATTAAAGCACAGTAGAGGCACAAAACACAATTTGATTCTGAAAATTAGCATAAATGTTCCTCTTTAAATATCATAACCTCTAGGGTGAACATTATGTCTACATTGAGTCAATGATATGTTTTGCATTTGTTTTGGTGGTATGAGATCACCCGGGTGTACCGCATACAGAAAATTACACTAAACTGGAATCCAAACGTTTTTCTACGATTATATAAGCACTCCGCCCTCGAAGATGGATGAACACAGCTGTTTCATGCCTCTCACTTTACTGTCATCTTAGTTTTCATATATGTTTTTTCACCAGCTGTTCCCCGCTGGCCTTTATGTCATCCATCCGTATGTCGTATTGTTAGATGATGTTGTCGATTCGAAGCTATATGCTAAGCAGATCTGCCTGACTGTTAATAGTCTGTGGTCACATAATCCTGACATCTGTCTCCTTGCAGGGACATCTTGGGAGTCGGGGTGACGTTAGCGGGCCATCAAAAGAAGATCCTCAACAGCGTCCAGATGATGCGGGCACAGATGAACCAGATCCAGTCGGTGGAGGTTTGACCCTCCCGAGCGGAGCAGAGGGGGGAGAACAAAAGGCGGTTGGGATACAGGGCTCTGGGTGTGGAGGATGGAGTGGATGGTTTTTTCGCGTTACAGTGTTTCTGGGACTTCCCACCAGGCTACATTCCCCCCCCCACGCCCCCCGCCGGTTCCCCTCTCCACTTCCCTCTCTCCTCCTCTTATCCCCTCACCCTGACTCTCCCTCCATCTTGTGGGATCAGCTGTTGAAACAAAAGTCCCAGTGATGAGGCACCAGAGGGGAGCCAACCCCATATCTGGAGCCATAAACATGGGAGGTTAGGCGTGACCAGCAACAAAAAAATGTTCAATCAATCTTCCACCAATTCTCATTTGATGTTTTTTTTTCTTTTGGTTTTGTTTGTTCTGATGATTTTGTAAAGAATTTTTTAAAGGAAAAAAAAAAAAAAAAACTAGAGAAAAGGCAAGGAGTTTATCTAAATTTATAGATGATATAAGCTTGTACACTAGACGGACTCAGTAGGAAAGCTACCCTTTAAAAGGGCGAGAAAAAAAGAAAACAAGAAAGAGTTGAGGAGACGAGGCCATCCTCTGCAAGGTGTGGATATTGTCTTTTTTGCATCTTTTTAATTTTGGGACATCATGAGGGCATCAGATTTTTCTGTGGCCTACAGAAAGGAAGAGGAGACTGAAAAGCCCAACGTGCACTCCCAACTGTTTCCCCAGGAGAGAACATGCATTTTTAAAAACCATCAAATGGACAACATTTGTCAAAGACTGATGTCAAAAACACATTCATTCAGACTGACAATTCACACAGTGAAAAAGAAAAAAAAGTTTCTCATTGCAAGTATTTTCTATATTGTGTGAAATTTTGTGATGAAGAACTCCGTCTCACCATGCTTCCTCTCACTATAGACAAAAGTGTTTTTCTTTCTTTCACGGTGAACTATTCACAGCCTGCCAAATAGAACCCTTCCCTTTTTTTGCACCCTGTACGATGATCCTGTATTGTACATATCAGATGCACTTGACCTGCCATAACACGGAGACTCAGAAACAGTAATCAGCAGAAGAACTGATCGAGAGGAGGTTTTAAGTTGTTGTCACCATCCTTTTCTTTCCTTATTTTGTGAAAAAAAATAGCTTGTGGAGAGAAAACAAAACAGCACGTCCTACGCAGAATCACACAAAATGAAACAGGTTCTACTGTTTACATCAGAGGCCACATACAATACAGTATGTGCTGTTATAGCATCCTCCTTCATCCCCGGTGCCGTCTGTGCATCCGTGCACACGACGCACACACACACACACACACCACGTGCACAACGAAGCAGAGGCTCCCCAAGCGGCAGGACTCGTGTTTGATAGCATGCTGAGTGAGTGGTTAATTTCACAGTGCTTTGATTTGCTGCAATTACTAAAAACTCTGTTTGGGAAGAGCTTGGGTTTGACACACTTTACAGAGTATAACGTGGCTGCATTATTTGTCAGTGTTTCTTCTTCTTCCAGTTTTCCTTTTTTGAAAAACATTTTTAAAGTATTAAAGTTGTGTTACCACACACGGTTATTTTACACTCACACATAGTCATGGATAGATTTGAAAATCAGGCGTTTGTTGAATTAAATGCAACGTGTTATATTTTTGCAATTTCTGTATGGATATTATTGAATTGTTATTACTTTTTTTTCTGCACTGAGTATATTGTTTGACTCCAACAAACACTCTGGATCTTCCATCGATGCTTTTAGACTTTTTCATTTTGAAACATGTTGGTGCACAAATCCATGTAGATAAACAGCCCTGTGAATGGTATTGATTTGATTTTAAAGACAGTATATGCATTTATTGTTGGGCCTCCTGTGAGCTGTCAATCATCGTCTGCGTTGTCCGGGTGACCAGGGTTATGCGAGAGATGAGAGTCCGTAGCAATGCGAGGATTCCCCGGGGAGGTGAATCAGACAGGGTTTATGTACACAGCCAGTAAATTATATCAGAGATCCAACGGGGATTTGACAGCTAGACACGGACCTCCAGCTGTGAGCCATCGGTCAGATGTGTCCGGCCACAGCGGGGAGGCCGCACCCCGATCACAGCCGCTCTGTCCAGGCACCGATTCTCCCGCCTCTCCCCCCTTGATCACATGCAGGCCTGCCGGGGCCACCTGTCTGCCGCTCCCACTGATCTCCAACCAGCAGTTGTCTGGTTTCGTCTCTGTGACTTTATAAGCATCAACAGGCGAACAGCGGAGACACTCATCAGTGGGGCAGTTGTGTCTTGTCCTGTCCTGATGCTGCATGACAAAGAAAGGCTTGACAATGCTTCCACACTGAAAAAACAATAACGTTTCAGCTAGCTTATACAGTTGTGTGAAATATGTTGACATAATACATTTAATTAAAGTCAACGTTTCAGTTTTTTTCATTGCATGTTCGCTCAAACCAAATCCTCACATTTGTTGTTGTGGCGGCTTTAGCACCAAAGCTCTGATAAAGAAACCTCAGTCACTGCTATCCTGTCATCTTACACTGAAAAAACTGAATTGTTGATGATATTATGTCAACAAATTTCACACAACTGTATTAGGTTAGTTGAAAGTAACAATATTATGTTTTCATAGGTTCCACTTGATAGTGTTGCCTTCAACTAACCTCAAACAGTCCTGTGAAAGCCCCTCCATGTTTTTTTTTTCATCTGCAGTGCACCACATCATAACAGATGTTTCCCTGGAAGCTTGTATAACATAAGAAAATGGTAGGAGGACAATCATAAGCTGTTAGTCATAGCTGAGAGGCGAGTGAGAAGTGCCGCTGTGACCTAAATGCCACTGATGCCAGCATGCCGTTTGATTTTTATTTAACCAAGCTTTTTGACCGTCTTGCTTTTCCATTTCCCAGTACTTAACAGCTCATCAGATTGTGAGGCTGAGGCTGCACGTCCTCTCATGGTATGGCAAATATTCAACTGTCAGGAAAAACGTTTAATGTTGCCCAAGGAATTAATCTAGACTAGAGTATACACAAGGCTGGTGAGTTTCTGCTCCAACCCCATTAATGCTTGTTCAGATGCTTGTCCGTGGACGCTGCCAAGACTTTGAGTTATTAATCAAGCAATTATCCTTGAACTCTGTTTCAAGGAACTACCTTAAACTGGATGGGCAGGCGTGTTTATGACTAGACATAAAATAGTGCTGGAGTGCACACAGTCAGTATTTCCTTGGGGATACTTTTCCTTCTGAAGGGTTAGTTTTTTGTTTTCCATTTTTATCTGAAGGAGTTTTAGGAGAGCCTTTTGATTGAATGTCGAGTGTTTGAGAGCACCGCATTAAGTTTTTATGTATCTTCTGATTTCGATGGCACAAAAGAGACGCATTGTTGCAGTTTGGAATTGAGCAATGAAAGAGGGAACAAGACATTGACCCACTTATGTTGAGTGTTTAAAGTGGTTGACTGTTTTTCCTGCCGCAGACTTGCCGCTTTCTTTACACCAAAGCACAAGCTGTGAAAAAAGGCTGTCCGAGACTATTACAAAATGTATAGAACTGGGTTAATTCATCTGGTACAGGTTTCATGGAGGGCATATTTCAAAATTGGATTCGATAGGGTGATTACTGTTTCATCACCTCCTGAAATTAAATTGAATACTACATTGTGTATTACTGCAAGTAGTACATTTAAATCCACTGTAAGCCAATTCAACATTTGAAAGGTATTTTGGCCCTTTTTAAATCAAGTATTATCTCCTCAGATTAAGTGTTACTGTTGGTTTCAAAGCACTAGAACCTGACACCTACACATGCTTTAAAAACTTTAAATAGTTTTCCTCTGGTAATTGAAGCAGTCAGAGTGGTTGTGACACTCATAATGGTTTCACACAATGTTTGCCTACTGCAACTTTCAGCAAAACTCTCCTTTTACATCTGTGCAGCAAAGTAAAAGAAAAAAAACACTCAGTCCTGCCCTCACCGTGTGCCAATTTTTGAAGGACGGAGGAAAAAGCGTTAAGTCTCAGAGTTCCTGTTACATGATAGTGTGCATAAACACGAGCTGTGCCAGGTTGTACCCGCTGGGCTGCGTTTGAAAGGCGCCCAAACTACAGCATGGTCAGAGCGCCGGGTCTGCCTCCTGGTGAGGAGGAGGACAGAAAATGGCTCCCGTTCAATGGACGCAGCACGAAGCACGAGAGCGCCCTCTACTGCTGCGGTGGTCAAATGTAGCGTGTTGGACTGACTTCTCCAGATGCAAAGCTCCAGTGTTCAGGACGAACGCCGGCTGCTGTATCTTCCTTTGTTGGACAAACTTCCGTACCACTATACCACCCGTGTTCCCCTTTCATGACCCTGTGTTCCCCCTTCAAATGTCTAATATATTTGGTCTAAGATGTTATTGTAAGTATTGATGTTGTACACCAACTTAACTAACCTTCTGCTCTTACGATATTTTAGTTTGTTAATTTATATAGTTAATACATGTTGATTAACACTACTTTCGATTTTAACATAAAAAAGTGTCAGCATAAACGTAGTGAAGTGACCGAAATCTGTGTCGATAGGTAGGTGGTACCTATCTGAGTTCATCTAACAGCGATAGGAGTCAAGACAGGTCTCCGACCCCACCGAAGTAACTTGTTTCAAAGGTTTTCGGATCAGCATTATTGATACGACTGTAAAAAGTATTAACGTTCGCCAACCATGCCGGATACTCCATATGAGAAAAGGATATTTACGACACGTTTCACTTACGTTAGTATATCACCGTACGTACGAAGTAGTTGAGGATTTACACACTCTAAACTGTACAGTAAAACTAAGTCCGAAATACGAATTCGTTCATCGCGCCGAATGGAAGCGAGAGTAGGGAAAACCGCTTAGCGAAAGGCGGCAGAGAAATTACCTCCTGAGACGTAGCCCCCTGCACAATCCTTAGCCGCCACCACCCGAACACGACCGTAAACCCCAGAACCGTCGATAACGAACCTTGTTCGTTGTAACAAGTTTAAACCTTTAATAAACAAATTAGGTTAAAGGAATCGCTCGTAACACCTGACCAGCGTTGTGCTAGAAAGTTTCACGACGGTGTTGTAACATTCCAAAGTAGCTGGGGCCCAATGGCCTGGTCGTTTCAGGGCGGGCAGCACTGGCTGCGCGAACAAACCAGGTATTGCGGCTGTAAGACTATTAAAAAACCGGTGTTTTTTAGGGTATCGCTAACCTTCTGCCGGGTGTAGGGGTAATGGTGTGTAGCGAACGGGCTAATTGTGAAGAAGTGGCAAAACAACAAACAGCGTAAGGAAACAAATTATAACGGCGAAGTTCCGTAATTTGTACCACTGAGTCTGGACACAAGACGGGTTCGACACAAGATAGTACTGCAGTGGCGGCCCTTTACTGGCTTCTTAACAACAAAGTCTGATGTTGCTAGCAATGATTGACTGTTGTAAACCTACGACAATATTAGCACTAAATAAATTTTTATGTAGTTATTATTGTTTTTGTATACGTGAAAGTGTTATGTCTTACGTTGGAGATAGTATATAATTCGTGATTGTCCACGATTTTTCGTAAAGCATTGAGAAATTACAAACTAGTGGGAATGTACTTCACACAGGTGTCGTGGGTTTTCTTTTAGAGACCGCGGCGATGACTCGGACTGATAAACACAACCCCCCCGGGCTGAAAAACAAAAAAGAGGTACCCCCCCCGGACTGTTCTTTTTAACTCTTGGTGACGATATTTCCCGTGTCTCTGTATGTAAACCGCGTGTTCGACCTTTCAACTGTCCGTCCATCCGGTAGTGTCAATAAAATGGGCCCGACCGATTTTACTAACAGAGCGCAAAATGTCGCGATGCCGAAGGTGTCTACTGTAAAACATACTATAATTAACAGTTTCGTAAATTATATAAGTAACACGGTAGGTCTTACAATTCTCGTAAGGTACCTTATATTTGTTTTTCACAAAGACTTTATTTACGTATGGTGTGGAATATTCTTTATATTTACAAATAAAATAAAATCAAAATGAGTTTTATATACAGGGCGCCATCAGTTGTATAAAATATGTTCAATTAATTGAATGTAATTAAGTTTATAACACGGAAATTGATTGACTTACCGTTTAATAAACCCTTGGACAAACTGTTTATTTATATGAAAATTACAGTTGTAAAGATAAACACCACTACTAATTATAATGACATAATTTGGTATATCATCATTAACTGTTTGTGCAAAATTATACATTAATACGTAAACTGGACTGTATGAACGTAATTGAGAATTGACTTGCTGATTTTACAATTTTTCTTAATTTAGGTTAGCTAATAATCATTCCTAATGTAAAAGGCATTAATTTATTTTATTTTCCTTATTTGACTTAGTGTTCGTAAACAAAATAATATACATCGAGGTACAACGAGTAAACATACTATCCGGATTGATATTGTGTTACTCCATTGTATTTCAGGTTTAACCGTGACGCATTTTTTGTTTTTTGGTACTTATTTAAGTAAAACCCAAATTTTTATGTGTGTAAAAATTTTGTTTATTGGCAGTGATTAAAATTATTTGTCTGAATAAAAAATTAACTCCTTCTCGTTCCAACCGAAAGGTAAAAATCTTTTATTTGGTTACTGGTTATAATGGTTTATTACTTTAACAATGTAGTAAGTGGTCCCAATGTCAGTTGATATGTAAATATGAGTCTTATGTCCTGAGAGGGTGGTGCTCAGTGTCACCAGACTGGCCGTGTAATACCAGATGTTACACCCGAACTCTCCTGGCCCGTTGTGCATCTATAGGGAAACGGACATGTGCGTTGTTGTTGGTCTACCATCCCTCCACAAGCCCCCCCCCACAAACAACCCCTCCCCCCCCGTCTCCCTTTGGTATCCTGACNGGCGAGTCCCCACACGTGGCTGTGTAAACAGATTTAGGTCCCCACAAGGATGGTAATGCTAGGCCACACACACACACACACACACACACACTGATATACCACAATACATTGAGTTAAATACTTTTCTAGAGACTGACTTTAACACTTATCTTAAAACTAAAATGTAATGATTGACGATATGGGGACTTGCATTTTCTCCCGATAGTGGATAGGGGTCGCGGAAATGTTACTGTAGATAATATGTATGATCCCACACACACACAAACACACACTGTTGTGTTTCGATCATCTTAGAGTAAATAACATTCATTTACATATGTTTTCTGGAGACTAACTAACCATAAACCAAGGCCATAAAATGTAATGATTACCATTATGTCCCCGAAACGAAGTCCAGTCCCCACAACTCACAACACACACACACACACACACACACACACACACACACACACACACACACACACACACACACACACACACACACACACATTTCCCATCAAAGTCTTCACTGTCTCAAAGGTGAAGTGAGAAATATCCCAGTTTTACGTTTTTAGCGCTGTTTTAAAGTCTAAACACTGTTAAAAGAGGCTTTTTCTATCTCTTCTCGACCAGTTTAAAACCTAAACTGTGTTTCTTTCTTCAGATTTGTCTATTCCCGATATAATCGTCATTGTGTTGGCTGTTACGGTGGTTGTCGTGGCCACCATCGCCTTCATCTTCTACAGGTCAGTGCACAGCCACCTCTAAATGGGGACATTATACTGAGTAAAGAGAGCTGAACGATCATGACAGCATACCATAATATCTAACACAGTGGTTCTCCACTGGTCAGGCCTCGGGACCCACTTTTTCCTTTGTCAATAAATCGCGACCCGAAATTTTGAACCACTCAAATCTATTCAACAAAAAATCGCATACAATATGAATAAAGTGAAGTACAGTGCATATATCCCTTATATCCCTTCACAGAACTAAAACAAGGTTTAATGAGTTGATGGAATCAAAGCTGAACTGTATGACATAAAAAGGCAAATTTTTAGAAATACTTACATATAAACTACGCATTCTGGTACACTCTGAGAAGAAAATAAATAAATCTATTACTACCCGACATAATATTAATAATATTTTATGCCATTGTTTGTTTTTCACTTAGTTCTGACAGCTTGCTGCTCCTCACAGAGAGAAGAGTAAAGAGGAGATAGTCTGTGTGACTTACTTTAAATTGTGGGTAAGGGTAGATAGCCCCCATTGTTCTGTGACCTGTCAATCATCAAACCGGGGGTCGTATTTCATTATGGGTTCATTTTGATCTGAAATTGTACCCATGGATGTATAAAGAATAGTTCTACCACAAAGTTATTCCGGGGACTTCCGGAAACAATCTTGATTCTGATTGGCCAGAGGACTCGAAAAAACATCAGCAAAGATGTTTTATTGAGAAGATGATCACTACGTGACAGAAGTTTTCAAAACCGTTTATGGTCTCCGGTACTTCCAGTCCAACGCCGACTGCATGCACAGCGTTAGAATATCGGGCCTTCAAAATAAAAGTTTGACTTTTTTTTTCTTCACTCACACATCTGCGACCCACTCGACTTTTGGGTCGCGACCCACCAGTTGAGGACCACTGACTAACATATATAAGGTTTTAAAAGTATAATACCCCCGAGGCTTGAGCTATGAGGTGCCTCCATTTGGTCAAATCACTATTTATTTTTTGGATTACTTTTTTATATGTACATCTTTCTGTTTATCTTTAACTGTATGAAGTGAAAGGGATTTAGCATTTTCAAACAGACAGAGAAAGTACGTGAAGTTGAATGGAAGTTAAAAATCAAAACGTCTATTTTAATTTCCCTTCATATTAGAGCCTTTTTGTGAAACATTTGCAAAATTGACATCAAGAGTTTCGTCAAAAGTTATCATTTTTGGTGCAGATAGATGTGGACCACTGTGCTTCATTTCATTTTGTATTTATTGATGTTATTTGTTCCTGCAGACAGAACAGGAGGGACCGTCTGGTGAGGAAGCGCTGGTCTCACATCTCCTCTGATCTGGTCACTCAACTGGAGAACAACGAGCTCAACGTCGTCTCTCTCAAGGTGAGATAATAGATTAAAGCTCTCAATCAGCACAAGGCAAGGCAAGTTTATTTATACAGCACCTTTCAACACAAGGCAATTCAAAGTAATGTAATGGCTTTTGACAATATTTTCTGAGGAATGCATTGATAAGACAAGATATCTGATAATGTTACAGCATTACTACGTCGAAAACTGTTCCAATGCAAATATTTCGTATATCAATATTTTAATAAGGTAGGACACTGGTTAATAATATTGTAGCGTGTTCAAGTAACCAAGGGATGTAGTAGCCTATAAGATGTGCACAGTTATGTAATGCACTGTTGTTGGGGGGAGAGACCGCCCCTTCCATATGAGTGTGTGTGTCGGCGGGCATGAGGCGTGCATGACGGGACGAGTTGTGTTCGTATGTGGAAAAGTCATACTCAGTGCGGTGAGTGCTGGCTTTATTGCTACTGTATCCGTAGCACCCCACGCAATAGTTGGGACTGTGTAATGACGTCAGAAAAAAGGTTTGCCCCCCCCCAAGCGGAAATGTCAAACTCCGCCTATACTCCCTTGTCAACAACAATATGTCAACAACATCAGACAGATATTTTTTTGCCTGTCTTCATCAATTTCCTGTTCTGAAAAAGAAAGCACATTTTGATTAGATAATGCCCGAAAAGCAGACATAAACAAATCATATCTAAAAACTTGTAATGCAAAATATAATTGTCTTGCAGTTTGTAATCAACTCTGGAAGTTTCATGGTGATATCCATCAGGTAACTTTTTTACCCTAATCACCTTAACGTCATGTTTGCTCTGTTTCTCCATCAGATCGATGACGAGAGGAAAAAAATGAAATTCCAAATCCGCCGAGCGCACTACGACAAAAAGGTAAGCGGTATATTTAAAATCAATCAATACGATTTTGCACAATAATAACATTTTATTTTTCAGATTGTGATCCTGAAGGAGCTCGAGCACTCAGACGGGAACTTTAACGAGACGCAGATGATTGAATTAAACGCCGTAAGAATTACAAACACTTCTGCAGGATATTTGTTATTGTTTTTTCTTTATACACTGAACAAAAATATAAATGCAACACTTTCGTTTTTGCTCCCATTTTTCATGAGATGAACTCAAAGATCTAAAACATTTTCTAT